CACTGTAAATATTGTTTAGTTTCAGTTTAATTCAAGTGTTAAATGCATTATCTGCTAAATTTACCGTGAACGTGTACTTAAGTAATAGAACTGAATACTCTGTTTTGTCTTTATTTACCAAATTTGTTTCGCATTTTAAAACCCAATTCTAGAGGTAGGTTATTTAACATAGCTATGAATCTGATTACGGTGTAAATATAGTGGCGGGTAAAACTACTGGGAACGATTAGTAGATCTTTTATGTTAATGTATTTCGTCTTGTTAACGTAATCTAAATAAAAAAAAATGTAACAGACTATTGTGCATATGGGCATAGTACTTGTGTTGCGGTGTCCCTGTGCGAAAGTAACAGACTACATGTATCTACTTTATGTTCAAAATCTGACTTGAATTTCAAATCTATTCAATAATGTTATGCTTATTTGTGTAGGGTTTAGAACTATGTATGTAATACGTACATATATAAATATGTGCTTTGGCAATGTATGATATAAGATGTGTGCAACCGTGTGGCGCTCGGCCACTCGCTAACCGGTAGCGACAGAATATACAAAAACTGAAATAATTATCAGTCTACTTATTTCTCACCTTGGAGTACGAAGCCTCTAAAGTAGTGGTGATACTTGATAAATAAATAAATATACGAAGCCCCTAATGCTAGTAATATGTTTACCTGTAAAATTAAATTCAAGTTTAAACGATGCTACGTTACCTATGCCTGGCGGGACCAATCGAAAGCTCTATTTCGTCGCCAATCTGCATTTTCCTCACCAAGCTTTTGCTCAACCGACTTTTACGGCTTATGGAATGGTATGCTATTTCAGATAAGCATAGAAGAGTTCAGCGTTTCCTCAGAATACTTTTCTTAAACTTCAAGTTTTAGTAGAAGACTTGTTTAGTAGAAGTTGTGAAGACTTTGTGAAATTTATTTAAGCTAAGTTAGTTTTTGCAACTAACGCAACCATCATTAAATAATTTATCAGTTTCCAATTCCTAGTAGATATCCCTAAAATATTCTTTATTTTATCCATAGCAACCTCTTATAAATAATGAATAATACTGATATAAACCAAACTTAAAGTAACATAATAGCCTTTGATTGCGCTGGTCAGCAGAGAACAGTTAAGGAAAAGCATTCTGCGATTCTCTTAATTTTAAGACAATATTTGAAAATAAATCGTCAGTATTCTTCATAGAACAGTTAATACATTGATAAAAATATATAAACTGTTAAATATATTCTAATTTAAGTTCGAAGTGTCTAAATATTAAAAAAATTGAAGTTATAACGATTTCTAAAAAAAATGCCTCTTAAAGAGAAGTACAGATCTGGTAACTGTGCCGTATAAATACTTAAAAGTGTAGTATTGGTTAGATTGCTCGGAATCTCTCGAATTTTTTTTTCTCTCAAAACACCACTCCTCTGCCGCATTAGGAATATATATCCTGTGTCACGGGGGACTTCACAAATATACATTAAACGGACACAAAGAACACCTAGACTCAGAACTCAAATTGTTGTGAATCACACAAAATGGTGTCCCATGTGCAGTCAAATTTGAGTTACAAGTATGCGCTGAAATCTCGCAATTACTTACTTTCCTCGATACATCGTAGAAGAAATATCCTTTTGTTACTTCTGCTTTTTTCTATCCATCTTTTTTCCTTGTACAGACTCCTAGTCTTCTTATCTAATCACTAAAATGACCGGATTATGGCAAAAAAAAACTTGCCCTCTATTATAGTAAAGCTGTGAGTATACCTAGTTGGCAAAATGAGGACGCTTTATACACCTCTGTTTACTCCTTTTAGGATATAGGCGCAAGTGTATTTAGTATATATAATTGAAAAATTTAATAAATCACGCAAGATTATTCCAAAATATAATTTAGTTTCAATTATTTATAATTAAGTTTTATTCATATTCTGTCTGACTTTATTAAAGCAACCCCTGACCTCTCTATTCGTCCAAATAATACAGCATTACCGTCCTCTGAAAAAAGGTCGAAGTAGTATCAGGCGCGTAATGAAAACATTGAATATAACCGAAGCTTGTTAAAAATATTACTTACCTTACAGTATTCATGGATTGCCTTCGCCAATTCAATAATAAAAAGTTCTTATTTAAAGATCAAATCAGTTTTTTCTACTAATTTGACTAGAATATACGAGTATATCTCAATATATTTTGTTACAATTCTATTCTTGTTTAAATATATAGGACCTATGTTTACAAAAAGATTATTATATCCGATCTATATTTATTCATCCCAGACGCTACAGAATAGTTTTATAAGTGTGACGTTTGTTGATATTTGTGTCTATCTTTGGCATCATAAATATGTTTTAAATGGATCAACAGATTTTAACTTACTTTTTTGTTCTGGAGGTAACTTGATTGAGAGTTTTTTTGGCTACACTTTAATTAAAACTATTTAGACATTCGAAAAACATCAACTATTTTCAAGCCAATAACGGTGCTTTTTTTAAGTCAGGTATATTTAAAAATATTAATTTATACTTAGTCTTGTATTAGTATTTACATGTTTTTGAAGTTCTGTTCAGTAAAAGAAAATTGGAGTAATTTGATGAAGTTATAAAGTGTGTGACAATATATTATTTCTTTCTATTGTTAGAAAACACTCTAAGATCAGCCGTGTGATTTTTGCGTGTCCAATCCTTTCCCTATCTCCTCCCTTCCTAGTGACCAGTCCTAGTGACTTTAGACACTATCAGGAACCACTTTGTTAGTAGTGCTGGATAACCGTTCAACGTGGTCTTCTGTGCTATATTTCCACTAAAACGTTTTTTTGTAAATATGAATCCATTTTTAATATAATAAAACATCTACGCTCATACGTTAGCGCCATCTAGCAAAACTCGGGTGAACTAATCGGACCTGTATCGCCCTAATAAAGTTTCATCGCACGACTAACGTTATATAGATTACTGTCCTTCTCCAGGAAACAGGAAAAGAACTTCAGTATTTCTCTCGCTATTACTTATTGTGATTTATGTTTGTTACCCATCAGTGATTTATTCGAGAAAAGAATTTTACTCTTGTTGACTGGCATCATAGGGTCCTAAATAAAAGAAAAAGGACGAATTTATGCAATACTGCATTATATTGAATTAAACGAAATTAAAACATTTTAAATCTTTTTTTCTTAAGTGATGTTAAACTAAGAGGAGAAAAAAAATATACATATTTCAATCAGTAATGCCCTATAGGATTCCTCCACATTATTTAGTCACATACCCTAGTTGAATAGTAACGCTGTTTCTTTACCCTATTTACAACTTTCATTTTTGTAAAAGTGTAGAATTTTCAACCAAAACTTTGCTAGTTCCTGGAAAACAACAAACTGTCGGATGCTTTATCCTAAACTTATCAAATCAAAAAACTGAATCATTTACGAGATTATATTGGTACTGCGTGTGAGAGTGCGATAATGCAGCAGCAGCCCTGATGTATCAAAATAAAAAACCCAATACCAAAAACCTATCCATGGGCTTTTTCTGACTCCTCGTATCATCTTTTTACTTTCTAATGTAAGTAGGTAGATAGAGCTCACGTTCAAGTTGCTTAACAAAAAGTATTACATGGAGGCCAACTACCAGCTGCTTCTGGGCAATGTGGTTCGATTGGAGAATTATAAATATAAAACAATGTCACGATTAAAGTAAATTCTAATCAAACAAAGTCAAATACGTAAAATTACTATTTTAAATAATTAGTATGTTGAATAAATTATATGAAAGTGTTAAACAGATTAGATGAGAAACTAACGGCCAACTATTGGTAACTTTACCTAAGTAGTGAGCTTTCAAGATTACAGTTGTAAAATTATGCAAATCGTGCCCGGAAAGGAAAGGAAAGTAAATCAAATTAGTTCCCTAATAAAAATCTTATGATCCAATACTGGGTAACAAAGTTTTCATTCAATATTGTTACAATATTAAATGTTTACGCAAGATTTTGCTATTAAAATGAATGAAAAATTGCAATAAGTACCTAAAGTAGTTTATTTTAAATCAAATGTACTCATTGTAGCAGAATAGTTATGAGAAACCTGGTATCGAAAGCTATAGAACTATCCTAGAATATTACTTGCAATAGTATATATATCTTTAAACAAATAATTCAATCTCATACATAACCAAGTAAATATTATTAGGACGAAATATCTTTCAGAACCGTTGCTGCTCATATCGCTAACTCTCACTTCAGATATTTTCTGTAATGCATTGCTACTATTATTCATATGCATAACTTAGTCGTTATCCGCACTGCCATTATCCCTCTCCCCTATTTAACTTCTTGAGTGATAGCCACAGAAATCTCCCCTTAATTTCCGTGAATAATGATATCAACCACGCGACCATTACCTTGCATTTTAACAAGGAAAAATATCGCATTACTGCGGTTAATGACTCACCCATTATTTTTGTTGTACATCTTTGTAGCATTTCTGTCAAATAAAACACAAATTTTTCACATTTTTATTTTAAAAAGATATAAAAGGATTCATGTTATCCTAGACATGGAATTATTCAGCCGAAATGTTATAAATGAAGCATCATGATCTATACAAATAGTTTTATCTATATTTTAGACATATCGTAATTCGTAGACGATAATACAAGTATAATATATTACGAATCACAAATGGAATTGAATTGTGAATTTGAATTACAATTGTGCTGATTTAACGATATGCAAAAGTAGATATATAGGTGATTATCTAATGAGCGTGACAGATATATCAAATGAGTAAAGAGTAAGAGTATTCCAGAGCAATTGAGATCCTTAAACTAATAATTCAACAATCAGAATATTATAACTCAACTAATTCCATAGTTCAACAGTTCAACTTCACAACATTCGATTATGTACACAGTCCTTGGCGTTCATTCTAAAATTCGTTGTGTACTAATTATAGAATATTCTAGAAACAGTAGGTTCTGGAGACATTAGTTTTGCCTCCATCTTCTTGATGTCAGCCATAATAATAATTACTTGATGGCGCACCTAAACTTCTCGGGCTGGTCATAACATTTGGTTCGACTTCTTCCTCGTTGCTGCGACTTCTTGTAAACCTTGGTGCTACAACCTGATCTCTCGTATGTGAAGGCACAAAATCTACGTTACCGTACATATTTGCTTCTATTGGAGAAGGATATATCGTACACAATGGTTTCATAGCACGTAGAGTTCCTCTGCTGCCAGGAATATTTTTATATAAGATCATATCTGGATGAAGGGGATCGTGGAATGTGCCTGAGATATGACTTATATCTGCATCATTATCAATATCAGAAAAAGCATCATTAAAAACATTGGGTGCTTCTGTAGTATACATATCCCCGTTTTTAGAATTTTCAGTTAACTTTCTACTTATGTAACATCTGACTCCGATAAAAATTGCAACAATAATGATAAAAATTAAAATTCCGATACCAGTATATAAGAAAAGTGCAGAATTGTGACGTTGTGGATCTGAAAGGTAAATAACATATAAGTTTACATAAACTAAAAACAGGTGTTCAGAAAACAGGTAACTCTGAGCAAAAAAATTGACAGTTATTAAGATTGTTTTCATTATTAAGTATTTTTTAGTCAGTCTAGTATGAATATTACCTGGTATACGTTCATTCTCTTTTATGGTAGTGTCAATATCATGTGTTGTTGACTCTTCTCTGTGATCATGAGTTGAAGGCGCAATATCGTCTAAAGGTGACAGCAGTGCGTGATCAGCATTGGGCTCTCTGTACCTATCCCCTTCTTCTTCTATCAAAATATAATTAAGTTATTTTTTTATATATTTTTTTACATCCATTTTATCTCTTTATACGTTACCTGAATCTTCGAAAAAGCCCCCATTCAGATTAAATGTACCGCTTATCTCATCTCTTTCGACAGCACTCTCAAATTTCTCTGACAGAACACCTAATGGAACTGTAAGAAGATAAAAAGTATATCTAAAAATATATGCCCAATTTACTGTGGTGTTTGAGTTTTACAAATTTCAAATATTATACCTATTACAAATTGCATAATTGACAAATATTCAGAAAAAATGAAATTAAAGAATGAAGTTTTTTTTTTATTTGTATTTATGCACGACAAAACTATCACAAAATTACGAAAGTAGTAGCGCATTATAAACTTGAAAGCACGTAATGCAAACTTGTTAACATATAAGGTAAACTTACTATGTTTTGAAATGGTAGTACTGACGGTAACTTAACCTATCTTTATACTTAACAAGGAACAATAGAGTAAAGAGCAAAGTTCCAAAGGTAAAGGAAGATTTGTACTGTAGAAAGTTACTAAATATAAAAGAATGGCGTAGTTTTAATCTTGAACAAGTTATAATAGTACATACGTAACCCGACAAGTGCCATTGTTTTATTTAACTGATGTTAGTAGTAGATTAATACTGTTCCCTGGGATTCAGAAATGCTATTTTTTATTTACAAATACACGGTGATTTTGAAAGCGTTTTGGAAAAGAAAATTTTGAGTTATTTATCAGTAACAGAAGCTATATATAACGTTAATTTAGTAAAATATATATATTTTTTATCATCAAAGTCGATATTCATATCGATTACAGAGAAAAGGTGAGAACCAGTAGTAGGGCTTTTCAATCGCAAGTAGGTAAATACTACAAATAGAAATACTATACTCACGCGCAAGGTCAAGGACGTTTAAACTATTATTCGCCGGAGTGTAGTGCGTGCATACCTGGACAATGAGTTTAGTGATCGGTGGATAGGTCGAGGAGGGCCAGTGCCTTGGCCACCTAGAAGCCCGGACTTAACGCCCCTGGATTTTTTCTTATGGTCGGAAATAAAAATACTTGTTTATACACGGGAATATGAAAGCCGTGATAATTTACGCATTGCGATAGTGGACGCTTTTGATAAAGTGAAAAGTGATAGAGACACATTTAGAAAATTAAAAAACAATTGCATTAAACGTGGACGTTTGTGTATTGAATGCAGCGGACTCCATTTTGAGCAGTTGCTTCGATACAGAGAAGTGTAAATAGTGTAAATAGGTATGTAAGTTAATTATTCTGTAGATCGGATCGAAGGGATGTTGTCAGACTGGAAACCGATAGCTAGAGGTGTCAGACAGGGGTGCATACTTTCCCCTCTTCTTTTCAACCTATATTCAGAGGATGTCCTTACAGAGTTACTACGCGATAAAAGAGAGGGAATACGCGTCAATGGACTGCTGGTCAATAATATAAGATATGCAGATGACACAGTGCTTATCGCAAACTCAGAAGCAAGCAAGAAGTCAGGACTGCAAACTTTATTAGATGAAGTAGCAACTGCGGGAGAAGCTATGGGTTTGTCAATTAATGTTCATAAAACGAAGACCATGGTTATAGCGAAGACAATGATGCCCACTCCAAATATAAAGCTTCGAGGGGTAGATGTGGCAGGCGTTGGTGGGTTTAAATATCTTGGCCGATACTTTACGAATGACCTAGACCATTTGGAAGAGGTGAAATGTCGAATAGGACAAGCTAAGACTGCTTTCTTCAAGATGTCTAAGGTTTTATGCGACCCAAAAATCCCATTTCCTTTGAGGCACCGCGTCATGAAATGCTACGTTTGGTCCACACTGTTTTATGGGTGTGAGACGTGGGTCTTAAGGAAAGAAATATGTAACCGACTGCAAGCCTTCGAGATGTGGTTATTGCGGAGGATGTTTAAAATCCCGTGGACTAGTTTTACATCCAACGTAGAGGTGCTGGAGCGAGCCAAGTGCAGGAGAGAACTGATGGCGGTTATAGCGAAAAGGAAGGTGGCCTTCTTTGGACACATACAAAGGGGCCCGCAACATGAATTCCTGAGGCTTCTGTTAGAAGGAAAAATACCAGGCAGGAGGCCACCAGGTCGACCACGAAGGAAGTGGATAGATGACATAGTGGCCTGGACCGGACTGCGATATCGCCAACTAAAGGAGGCCGCTCATGATCGAGGGGTGTACCGTCTGCTGACCTCCAAACTTCATTTTGAGGATGTCACCCCATGATGATGAGATAGCTCCGATTTTTTAAATACGCTGGAAATATTTATACCTACAGTCCGTTGATAAATTGATTTGTTGTGAAAAGAACCATCGTGGTTAATAATCGAAAAGAAGTTTAAATAAAATAGGTATTTCCGACGGTCCTAACCCCGTGTAATCAATGTACTAGACACAAGCCAATTTCCTTTTTTATTAAATGAAACTTCATCCCATAACTACTTAATTATATAACTATAAACTGTGTAAAATATCAAACACATAAGAATTAGGTCTTTACAGTTTAGAGTTATAGAATTTTATCCAACTTTTCGAAATCAATTACGACGATTAAATGATTAAATTTGGGAATTTGGTGTTTTTCACGTAATACAGCTAAAAAATTTTAGCTTCACACATCTCACACACGGCAGTCTTATTCCACTGGTCTAAGCTTGTGCTCTGGGAAACAGATTTCTAATTAATATACTTAAACAACAGAACAAATGATCGGGCTCATCACACAATTACTTGTCCTGGGTAGGAATCGAACCCACGAGCTCCGGCTTAGCAATCAGGAATTAGAATTCCTACTAGATCTACTACTAGATCAACATCAACAGCCTTTAATAGTCCACTGCTGGACATAAGCCTCTCCTTAGAAAGGAGGTACTAGATCAACAAACCTATACAATTGTTATGTTATTAACCTTATAGATATTGTATTGTATAAGTTTAGTATGTCAAAGTTATATACGCAATTGGACTTGAGTAAATATATCATCATCATCATCAACAGCCTTTAATAGTCCACTACTGGACTCTCTCCTTAGAAATGAGGTTGTAGCCTACTATACCACGCTGGCCAGACGGCTCGGAATAGGGTTTGTGTCAAGTTTTCCTTCTCTTGGCAGTGCTGTTGTCCTGCGTAGTTTACTTCCCTTAGTCGCCTCTTACGACACCCACGCACTGTGGAATATGGTAGAACAAAGGCATATCAAAATTGATTTTTATCACTGATTGAAATAGGGCACTTTATGAATGTAATTTAAAAGTTCAGAAGTCGAGGTTTAATATTCTGCAGCGTAACTCCTATTGTATTTGGTATACATTTTTTTTTCATGTAGTAAAGTTAAACGTTTAAGCAATTGGGAAATATTTAGTTGTTTATTTACGTTTTTCAACGTGAAATAGTTTTAAAACTTGAAATGAAAGGTATAAGGTATTATATATTTTTATAAAGCTCATCTATCAGAGGAAATAAATAAATACAATTGATTGTTTTTAATACGAATATATAATTAAAAACCAATTTAAAGAAAAAGGGGGAAAAAAATATTCCTTCCTCAACTTCGTCGAAGCTTTTACCAGTTAGAGTTGTTTGCCGATGCTTTGAATTTAATGGTAATTCATAGGTTAGTTACTCACCTAAAACATATTAAAAAATTAGCTGCGGTTTTTTGCGGTTTACGAAGATATGGGAAAAAATCGAATACTAGTCTGGGAACGGAAATCGCTATCAAATGCGGTTTCGTAGTTTACTTTTATTATCAATAACTTGTGATACGTTTTATGAATTAATTATTTAATATTGTTAAGTTTTTATCATTTCGATGTCATTTTTTGTTGAGAAAATAGATATCTGAAATATTTCCACATACTGAAACAATATAAAAAGGGCAGTGAAAAAATATTTCTCCATTACCGTTTCTACCTACTCTAGTACGGCTGTTTCATTATTCAATATGTCGACTTTTAACTGTACTAAACGTGAGTTAATAGTGTCTTATATAGAAGGCGGAAAAACGACTGCGGCACTTTCAACATTTTTGAAGGGAAAACAAGTTTCAGAAGACAATATATGTTTTGTTATTGGTCATATTCAAAGGGATATCATCCCATCGTTTAATAAACGCTGGAGTGAAGCAGGACGCAATAAGAATACATTTTTAAGAAAGAACACCAATTGGTTGGATTCTGAATATTCGTTAACCATACCAACATCAGAAAATATGGTTTGAAGCACATTCTAAGCGCATATCTTCAAGGATTGCGTTCTATAGGAGAAGGAACTGAAGCAAAAGCTGTTGAAAAATTAAGGTTGGCTGATGCACAGAAAAAGGTTTTCGTTATAAATCAATTAGATGATGCAAAAATAATTAAAGGGCTTGCAGATGAAGAAGCATTAAGTGTCTTCATCGACTTGGAACTAACAAAGGTACAATATCTGTATCTCAGGAACGTTACAGATGAAAGAAACTGTTCTTTATTTCCACCATACTACAAAATACAAGAAATGAAACAGAGATGCTATCCACCATCATCAACAATCGAAATCACAAATACTTATGCAAAAATATTGAGAGTTCAAGATCTATTAGATCACACGGCAGCTCGAATTTTATGTATAGATACAGTTTACAAGAATGGACAAAAACATTTAATATTATATAGCAAATGGGGTTGTGATGGGTCATCTGGACAAAGCCAGTACAAGCAACCTCTACCAGAGGAGTCTGAACTTATTTCCGATGCAAATTTATTTATTACTTCTTTTGTGCCTATCAGATTAATTGACGAGGAAACAGGCGCCATCATAATAATATGGCAAAATCCAGTGCCTTCATCTGTTCGTTTTTGTCGGCCTATATCTATAGAATTTTGCAAAGAAATACCAGAAAAACTAAATCTGTTGTAGATGAAATAAAAAATCAAATACAAACTTTGCTTCCATCAGTAATTAATAAAGAAAGCGTGGGAGTTCAAGTCAAGCATGAACTTTTTTTGACGATGATAGACGGAAAAGTGGCACAAGTTTTAACAGATACGCCTTCTAGTTCCACATGTACAATATGCGGAGCAACTCCTAGACAAATGAATGATTTAACAAAAGGAACAGCCACGCCTGAAAATGAAAATGCTTATCAATACGGATTATCCACATTACATGCCTGGATTCGTTGCATGGAAATGATATTACACATATCATATAATCTATCTTTCCAAACGTGGTCTGCTACAAGCGAAGAAAAAAAAAGACTCAAACAAGAAAAAAAGGCTGAAGTACAGAAGCGATTTCGTGAAGAGTTGGGTCTAAATATTGACAAACCACGACAGGGGACGGGAAATAGTAATGATGGCAATACTGCTTGAAGATTTTTTTACAATGCTGCCTGTTCTGCTGATATCACAGGAGTTGACATTGATTTAATTAAACGGTTATACATAATTTTACAGGCTTTGTCATCTGGTATAGTGGTAGATAGTAAGAAATTTGGTAATTATGCTCTGGAAACAGCAAGAATATATGTGAGTAAATAAAGTTGGTATTACATGCCATCATCTGTCCACAAAATTTTAATTCACGGAGAGAGTATCATAAACCATTTCGCAGTATTACCAATTGGACAACTTTCAGAAGATGCTCAAGAATCTCGCAATAAGGACTATAAAAAATTTCGCTTACACCATGCTCGGAAATGCTCTCGAATAGCAACAAACGAAGATGTGTTGAATACACTACTTTACACCTCAGATCCATATATAACGAGCATAAGAAAACCATATGCAAAAAATGTTAAGGAGCTCGATGAAGATACTTTACACCTTCTCAAGGTTAATGAACTTATTTCAGATCCTGAAGCTCACAGGGTGTAAGATGTCAATCTTGCTGATCAATAAAGAAATATATATATTGCGATAATTTTAATTCAATATGTTTCTATAGTTAAGCGTAGTGTTACAGGTATTTTTAGATTTTTAATTTTATATAATCATTTTAATGTTAATCATCTTAATTGAGTTATTAGAATTAAAAAATACACATACGATATGTTTGTAAAAAAATATATTTCAACAATAAATGAATTTTATTTTTAATGTTTGTGACTTTCTTCATCAATTAAAAAAAAATACGCATCATTCCAATTCATCAAACATTACTTATATGAACTCCTATGTATTACTTTATATTAGAACAAAATTTGATAGCTTTATCTTTCGAATTGACGGAGTTACAGATTTTTAATCCGAAACACACCGAAATATTCCACAGTGCCACGGAGTGAATAGAGATGGTGACACTACGTATTCTTAATCCGTCGCCATACGAATATGGCATGTACTTCTGTACTGATATCGACAGAACAGTGGTCTGAAATTAGAACTAACCATGTGATATCCAATACTTACCACAAGCATATACAACTTTTAGGTAAGCCTTCGACTCTATTTGACACGAAGAGTTAAAAATCCTATTGTGAGCCACTATCTGACATCGACGCTTCCCTAAGCACTGCTGAATAACTGTCTTCACAGCATGTGGAGCTGCACAAGCTGTAAAGAAAATTCAATTAAATCCAATTTTCATCTAATAATCCAACGTTAAAATTAAAATAATAAAAAGAGATTGCTAAAATGATGTGTGTACATCATGACTGATAAAAAAGGGTATTAAAAAAGTTAGACTAATACTAAATGTTTGTTATTGTCTACTTATTACATACTATAATAATATTTAATATTTTTTTCCGTTTTCGGAACATTTTTCATTGATAATCAGCTCCTATTAGTCGTAGTATAATGTGATACAGTCTAGAGCCTTCCCAGATAAAAGGTTAATTCGACAAGTTTTTTTTTTTAAATAGAAACGGTAGTTCCTGAGATTACTCCGAACATAAAAACTCATACACATTTCGTCTTTGTAATATTAGTAAAGAAAAGTTTTAGGCTGCATTTCTATTAGAAGTTTTATAATTATAAGTTAATCTCAAAACTGCGCATGTTTTACTAAACATGAGCGCTTGTCGAGGCGAGTTTTCAACATGCGATGTCATCTAGTGGATCAAACTCATGCAAAATTAACACTACACAACAAACTTGAAATAAATTAATTTCTGTACGTAACTCAAAATAATAGAGTTCATTAGAATTCCAATAAAAAGTCAAGTTATTTGGGCTTTTCCTAGTAAACAAACACGAGGTCTCTCAATGTCTTAGAACTGAACTCTATTTTCAATATAATTTACCCTCATAGTGGTGTTAAATGTTGTGGAGAAATAACAAAATACACGGTAAACTTAAAGAAAAACAGAATAACTGTCTATTATAAAATATATAACACGGTATAATGACTTCATCCAAACCCAGAAAATGTATAAAAACACTATTATAAATACTGGGACAAAATAAATTACATATATGTCACCTAGTTTTTTCAAGCCATTCATTGTTTTAACAGGAAAAAATAACTAATTTACGGAGCACTTTATGCCGCGCCCATGTCAGCGTAGCTGGACATTGTACAAAAAATACTAATTCTTTTATTTAAGGGCGACCGCGACGTAACCATTTCACTAACTTTTGTTTTGTCGTAAGTCACATTAGTTACAAAGTACGGCTGTAGTGACGTGTTATAAAAGACACACCTTGTATTGTAACGGGCACTCCTTTATAAATTAACAAATATATTAATAATAATGAATTAGCGAGTACATGCTGTGACACGCGAAAGTTTTCTATGACAACGTAATTTTTAAGGGACTTGTTTATTACAATGTTGAGCCTTAAATAAAATGTGATGACTAAGTATAAATATTGAAATTTATAATTAGTGAACTCTCCTCTGACCTTTTATTTCCCAAACTAGGGTCGACTTTAAGTCTACTACGAAATGCCTGAGCTTCGATCTTTTTAGCGCAGTGACTCCACAAGTACGAGGCGATATCGAAGTTCTGTAGAAAGACTCTTGTCGGATTTTTTAGCGCTCCAACTATACGTAACTTTTGCCACAGATGTTCGTATGGCAACCGGGACCGGCCGCTTAACGTGCTCTTCGAGGCACGCATGGTTCCCAATGTATTAAGTATGGTCACCCATCCATACTCGCCTAGCTATGATTGCTTAACTTTGCAATGTTTTAACCTACTCGGTTACCTTACTTAGCCAGTTAGAAACGAGCCCCTCCTTATCATTACTGAACTGAAATATATAATTACTGAAATATAAAATACAATAAAATTTACTGTATTTTTAAATCAATTTCAAAAAAAGATGAGGTTCTCAATTCGTTAGTGTTTTTTTGTTTGTTACCTCAGAACTCTGTCATTTTTTAAACGATTTGTGTAATTCTTTTAATTTGGGCAGCCATACTTTGGCATTCAATTTTGAAGCAAAAATACGATCCCTAAACATGAAAAATTAAGGAATGAACAATACATTTATAATAATAATAGTACAGAAGACCGTCTGTCTACCTTTGTGGTGGATATTCTACGCAGCTCTTGTCACGCATAAGCAGTAGAAAAATATTAAAAATGAAAATTTTCGGCCATCAAACACACAACGTCATCTAGTTCCAAACTAAGCAGAGCTTATACTATGAAAGCTACATTGACTGAGAGAATACATATATACTTTTTTTTCTATTCCTATATGGTATACATAAAAAACACTCAAACTCCGAAACTAAAATTTCAGGCTCATACAAACATTTGGTCCGACCAGGGAACCGATCCTGAGACCTCACCACAGCTGTCGCCTACGCTACCACTGCATCACCGAGGCAGTCAATGAATTACATCATCAGGAAATCGTGCATTGAAGTCGATAAAACTTTTCGATAATTTATTTTTTATAGTAACTCCTAGCTGTATTACACAAGACAGAACAATATTTTAAGTCCCACGTCAGTAGCGAGCTTATTGCCGTCTGACGAACACTTTTCTAGACTCCTTGTTATTATTAAGAATTTAAGAGGAATGCCCGCAATAACTTCATTGGAAGTGGAAACCAAAGAGCTCAGCTTATATTTATGTCACAGAATCAGTGAAGTGTCTATGTCTAAAATGCAATTTCAATTATCAAAGTTCTAAATAGCTTTTTAATTTGTGAATGTCACATCACATCAACAGCCTTTACTAGTCCACTGCTGGAAATAGGCCTATCCCTACAAAGGAAGTTTTGGCCTACTATACCACGCTGGAAAGACGGGTTGGTATAGGATTTGTGTCAAGTTTTCCTTCTTTTTGCAGTGCTTTTGTCCTGCGTTTTTTTGCGCCGTAAGTCGGCTCTTACGACACCCACGGGATGAATTGGGGTAGTGACATTCCGTATTCTTAATCCGTCACTACACGGACAGTTGTTTAATAATATATTTTAATATGTACGGTAACTTAACCATCATCAACAAGATGGTATTGGGTTTGTTTCAAGTTTTCATTCTCTTTACAGTGCTGTTGTGTTGCGTAGTTTGCTCCTTTAGTCGGCTGAATAGGAGTGGTGACGCTCCGTATTCTTATATCCTTCACGGACAACTTATATATGGAAACTTATGTAACCTACATTTTTTTTTGGTATAGTTTGCAAACAAGTTGCCGCTTCACCTGATGAAAAGTAACTACCGCCGCCCATGAACGCCAGTAATCCGGCGTCACAAGCACGTAGTCGCCTGTTGAGTGTCCCTTCCGCAATGGGGAAGGAATACAAATTAAAGGAGGGGAAGGTATTGGTACTCCAGCAACTCACTCGGGACAAAGCAACGAAATAATTGCTTAGCACTGGTTTTTTGTGAGGAAGTCCATGGTGTCACACCGGTTGAGTCGTGCTTGTTTTCTTACTGTTATTTATTATCCTATAATATCTTATTTACTTTAAGACTTACTTTCATCTGGTACTCCTGGTGGCTGAGGACACCTGGTAGCCTCAAATTTTGTTCTACCATACTGAGCATCGAAGATTGCTATTCTGGAGTGAGGGTTACAACTAAGCTTAATCCGTTCACCTTCGCAGATGTTTCTACTTCGAAATTCATCTGTAGAAACAAAATATAATTAGAAATGGTGTACTAAATTTGTGTAGCCTACAACAAAAAGCACTAATACATTACTTTCTAATACTTAATTGTGCCTCCATTAAACCCACCATCCCACCGGGGTGATTATGTCGGACTCGAACCGATCAAAAACCCACCCCGTCTCGGGTACCAGTAGCCGGGGAACCAGGTGTACCCTAGAAAGGAAATCCCTAGTACTACGACGTACCTCGGGCCATCCACGCCGTGTAGATGGCCCGAGGTACGTGGCCCCCTCCTGTGTGGGAACCCCCATGGTCCCTTTGTGCTCCCAAAAGGGGGCGCGCGCGCTCAGCAGCGCGTCTCGCCGCCATTCCGGCCTGCTTCTGCTAGTGATCACCGGTAGATCTGCGTCAGTCGGTATGAGAGGGTTCCGTGACGCCTCTCGAGCCAATCCTCCATATCGGGTCTTACCGCCGCGATAACGGCGTGCCCGAAAATTATTGGCACAATATTATTGGTAATTTATTAGTGCTTTTTTTTGTAAGCTACACAAATTCAGTAGGTACACCAGTTAGGCCAATGTTGTTCCAATACGAGTTATTATCATACTCCGAGCCTTTTCCAAACTATGTTAAGGTCGGTTTTCAGTCCACTACGACATTTCTGAACTTCGATTTTTTACGTTGAGCAACTGTAGGTTATTCGACCTTTACAACCCAAGTGTTAGGCGATATCGAAGTTCTATCCGTAACCATAATACCCTTAATGTGCTCTCCGTGCCTAGTGTGTGTAAATGTGTTAACACTGGTCATCCATCCATAGGCTGACCTTGCTGGGATTACTTAACTTTAAAATGGCCCTACTCGCTTGCCAATAACGTACATAATACTCTCCCTCTTTCTAATCTCAATATTTTACGTTATGATGTCTGTAAAATAAATTTGATAAAGGATGAAGTGAGGTCGACTCCAACATACTAAGAAACAGAAACATACTACAGCGCCATCTAACGAAGACATACCGAACTAAAGAGTAGCTACTGAATAAAAATTGCTAATCCTGTATCGCGATATAAAGAATTCTCTCACCGATTAGCATATATACAACTGCCCAACATCTAACGGCCCGCCAGGCATGATCACCTCGCCTGGTAGGGGGATCCTCCCTTTGTGTTTGAGGGACATGACACCCGTTCCTCCACAAAGTCTGTCAGCCTATGAATGTAGACCTCTCCCAGTGACTTCAAAGAAGATTTTCCGTCTACCTCAATGGTGGAAGTTCTACGCAAATCTGGTCACATACGAGCAGTAGAAAAGTAATAACTAAATTACAAAAAGATGTCTCCTATTGGAATCAAACCGATTTTGTAGCTAAACCGACCGAAACACGCTTTTGTAGAAGAACCTAACCGAACTAAAAAGGGGGTAATTATTTTCTATAAGTTCAAAAAAAAAAACATGTTATCTTAAAAAAGCGCGGGGTGCTAGATCTCAATTGTAAAAAATTATTATGTTATAAAATGTTTTAACTCCCATGTTTTAAATTATTTCCTACTTCTTAATTCAGCTAGCTACAAAAGCGTGTTTTTTAAGCTATAATTTATTTTTCCTTTTTTTGTGGCAAGAACCTCAATAGCCTGAAGATTCTGATCAGGGTAATGGGACAAACTATTTAAATTGCATTGTCAATTGATCCTTGACAAGTATGCCAAATTTCAATTTAATTCGACGCCTTGAAGTGTGTCACAATCAGGTTCAAAGATTTCTTTACATACATATATACATACATAACAAGCTAATAAAAGCGAGTTGAAATAGTCCATACACCACAGTACCCTTTGAACAGACAAAATTAAATGTCAAACCACAAAAGTGATCTAATGAATTCAATATTATCATTTCGTTATAACTGAGTCAGAAGCAAACTTTAATAATCTAATAGGATATCACTTTACTCATTAATTAGTTTCGATAAAACCAGTTGGAAGTAATTTTCACTCCCTTGTTTTAGCGGTTAATACAAACCAAACACAACCCTTTCGCACCCATTAGAATGTTATACGAAACCAATACGATAAAAGCCTTGGCCCGAGTGTTCGTTTATCAATTAGAGTGTCCGAGTGTTTTACTCGGCCCTATAAGTTATATTAACGACTTCGACAGACAAGCGTTTAAACGTCATTTCCTGGCACTTTGATTCTAAGCGATTTAAATGCTGTGTCATGACACCCATTATGAGAAAATGAAAACTCTCATACGAATACACGTGGTTAAATAAATTTTATTAAAATACCTTTCGTGAATTTAAGTAGTTTAGGATTGTAAAACGAATTTAAAACAACGTTGTAAATTAAAACGTTTGCTATATTGCTTTTAATTTTTGTCTTTTAAATTCAATTTATTTAAGATATTCCATGTTTTTTAAATAAAACACAAACAATCATTGAAAATTGCAATGTCGTTCTTTTTTCTGAACTAATTTGCAAGTTGATTTAAAATAAATTGATTAAGTGTCACTGTTTCACAATAATGTAATATAAAAATAAATATAGACCGTAGGCAATACATCAAATAAGTTTTAATTTTTAATTAGCGAGACATTAATTATAGAAAATATTTAGTATTTTAATATTTTACAGTGTAAAAAATTACTCAAAGCAGACAATTAAAGTCCACCCCCGACAGGCATTGACCCGTCTCATCCACGACGGGTCTCGTCACCGACACCGACACCCTTTGGTAGCAGTCATCTTGAAGCGCACACTGGGCGTGCCTCTTAGGACAACGAATTCCCCAAAATCGTCGCCCTCGGACCACTTCCTAAGGTGACGGAGATCGACGAATGCCCTCCGACGCTCGGTGCGCCTTCTGCGGTTACAAAGAGCGGTGCTGCGTTCTCTCTCCCGTACCGCCGTTTTATTTGAGGATATCATCTCATCGCAGAAGGAAGCGACGGCGCTCCGGACCATGGACTAAATCAAGGTCGGAAGCGAGACGTTAACCGCATTAATTTGTAACATGAGTTAACCTCTACAACCTATAATAATAATAGTAGTCGGTTCTATTGTAACCAGTCTCCTGATGAACACATTAATATATCATTAAAGACGCGAGAGATTAATTACACCTAGAGCCAGATTATTTTATTTTATTTTATTTTATTTTTATATTTAGGAAAACTTACAGCTAGAATTACAATTGATATAAGACTAATAGGTGAAGGCCAATTAAAAGTTTTCACTGCTAGAACAATGAAGACAACTCTGAACATGGTAGGATGATAGGACAGTAGACATAGGTATTATTATAAATGTGATTTGTTTGTTATGCTTGGTCGAAGAAAACGTTGCCCAGTTGTTTTTTAAATTTAGTGACACTAGAAGAAAAAATGTCGATATCAACACTCCGGCATGCTGCATTATACATGCGACTCGCTCTGATCATGTATGAGTTTTGCCTGTACTTAGAATCTACAATGGGAACATGCAACAAGTTAAATCGTCGAAGATGCGCTGTCGGGACGTTTAAAGCAATTTTGCTCACAAGTTCAGAGGAGTCAACCGCTCCTCTCATGATGCCAAATAGAAACGACAGATCCGCTATTTTTCTTCTTTCAATGAGTGGAAGAATATGAAATTTTTTACACCGGGTCACGTAATCAGGTAAATAGCAACTACAACGATACTGTATATATCCTAAAAACCTTCTCTGAATGCGCTCTATTCTATCAATATAGACGTTATACATTGGATTCCACACTTGAGAACAGTATTCTAAGTGACTGCGAACTAGGGAACAATAAAGTATTTTTATTGTTTTAATATTTTTAAAGTCTGCTGAAACTCTGAGTAGGAATCCCAATGCTTTGGAGGCTTTGCTAACAATGTTATAAATGTGTGTATCAAACAGTAGTTTCGAGTCAAAAGTAACACCAAGGTCTTTAGTGTTACTGACTCTAGACAATGGGGTATCTAATAATTTGTAAACCTGAAATATTGGGCTATGTTTACGTGTAAAGGAGCACACGTAACATTTATTGACATTTAAATCCAGTTTATTCGTTTTGCAGTACGCCTGAAATCTATTGAGATCTTCCTGTAGTTCTATGGCGTCCTGGACCCTATTTATCTGTTTCATTACTTTCAAGTCATCAGCATAAAGAATAATTTTTGAGGTTAGGAAGCAGTTATCTATATCGTTGATGAATATAATAAAGAGGTCCCAACAGCGATCCTTGCGGGACGCCCGAAGGAATATTTGTAAGTGTTCTTCTAGACGTATAACCATTAAGTACAACAGTCTGACATCTGTTTTCCACGTACGATGTAAACCATCGAAACAAATTGCCGCCGACACCCATACTCAAAAGTTTACGCATTAAGATTGTGTGATCTATTCTATCGAAACATTTACTGAAATCGGTGTATATAACATCGACCTGTGACCCTTGTGACATGAATTTAGAAATAAAGTCACAACACACTATAAGATTAGATGTGGTAGAACGACCCCTTAGAAAGCCGTGTTGGTGTTCACCAAAACCAAGTTTGAGGGCAGCGTAGACTTGTCTGTATACGATTTTTTCTAAAATCTTTGCGAACACACACAGCTTCGAGATGGGTCTGTAGTTTTCAATCATATTTTTAGGTCCCTTTTTATGTATCGGTGTTATATACACCGACTTCCAGATTGTAGGCATCACGCCGGTATCAAGAGACCGCCTATATAGAATAGAGAGAGGGATGACGAGGCTATTGGCACAACCCATAATCAATACAGGCGAGATGTCGTCCGGCCCAGCCGACTTATTAGTATCCACATGTTTTAATAAATTATAAAGTTCATCCCTGCTGACTTCGATGGATGTAATACATGAGGCGACCTGTTCAATGTTCTGCTCACTGTTCCGCGAAGAGCTGTCGTGAGGGCTTGTTGAGAAGTTGGAATAGAAATATTCATTGAACATATCGCATATCTCCTCACCATCACTAGTGGAATGCTGACCGAATTGCATCACAG